ATAATAATAAAAATAAACTAATAATTTAGAAAGTATTTAAAACGTACATTATTGTATTTTTTAATCCACTCAATTCTTTTGATATTATTTCAAAATATACATCATAATTCAACATAATTCATGCTGAGATATTTGTATCATTACTATTTATCTTTGCTAAACTTTCAACACAATTTTTCATATCGGCCTTTTTAAAGCAATTAGATCCAGATATAAATATTTTTTTCCTTTCATTTCATTAGTTAGGGAGACTCCTTTCACCAAATTCCACCATTTTGCTGATCTCTGTGACCACCCCCATTCCTAAGTCACACCAGGAACAGAACTGTGTGCCTTCTTTAGTTTCAGACAAATGAAAGAGAAACAGTAACACCAACATTCTAAAACTCTGATTTCTAACTGCATAACCAGTTGTGTATTTTCTGGTCTATTTAAGGCCTAAGGTCCTAAGTGTTTGCAATTATCACTAGAAATTAACTTAAAATTTAAATTGTGAAGAGTTAATAAAAACACTTTATTCTAATTCCAATCAAAAAAATCTTTAAATAATTTTCAATATTTTTCCATTTACTAAACAAGGACATTTCTCCAACATATTTCATGCACTGCAGTATTAGTAGCAGGTTAATGTTAAAGAAGAAAAAACTACACAACACTCATGTTTTCAGAAAAACCTAGTTTCATATGATATGTAGAGATCTAACTTACAAAAGCTTTGAGCAAGCATTTGTAAAGCTTTTCGTCACTTACCTTGAGCAACAAGATCTTTTCTTAGCAACGGGTAAAGTACAGGCTCCACTCCATCCATTTCCTGTATAATAAGTGTTTTCCCAAATCTCACTGCCAGCTCAAGAGAAGTTAGGAAATTGGTGTCCTGGGCAAATAAAAATAAATTCCTTTGATTCATGTTTTTTTTAAATATTAACACTTCAGGGTGAACAGGAAGGCATTATACCAGGAGTCTAAATTTAAAAATCAGTAGTATAGCTGAGAAAGTCTATTCCAAGCATCATATAGTATTTCAGGGTTTAGCTACAAGTGTTTAATTTAAGTAAGTTTGATCTATTCAGCTACTGACATACAGGCAACCTATTTAGCATGCCTAGCTCTCCAAGTGCTGCACCAGAAGACAGCAGGTCTACCACAGCTCTTGTGTCACATCTCTCAGGTGCACTGCTAATGCATCTCAAATGTTATTAGGCTGCTATGTCTCAAAACTGAATCAAGACCTAAGGGCAGGATTCACATCGATACTAAGTTACCTAAACACAGCCTTTTGTATGTAGGTGCCTAAACATGCATGTGGTGTTTGAGATGCCATTACAGTCAATGGAGATCCTAGACAATGCAGACAACAGACTCTAAATGGCAATCAAGCCAATCAGCTGGCAGGGGAAGCATTCCATTACCCAAAGATAAGTATCCAGTACCATCAGAGAGTATCTAACAGGCCTGCACAGAGCTGGCAAGGGTCAGTGGAAGACCTACATTCTGTGGAAGCAGTATCTTGAGCACAGGTGGGGTTCAATGAGGGACTTCTGAATGGCACTAGATGCCTGCCTATAGGTGTGCAACTGAGCCAAGCCTCGCCACCCATGTAAACAGTGACGTGTACACAATTAATCTTAAGTATCTTAATCTCAAACTACTGTTTCCAACGTAGATAATACAACACAAAAATAATGGGGAAGAAGTGTATACACACTCCTGAAATACAGTGAACTGCAACCAAAAATACAAAAGACCTCTCTGTTTACAAATTTTTTACTATCTCCCTCTCAGCATGAAATACTGATATTCTTGGAGAGGGCAGCCCAAAGAGATAAACTTGTAGAAGTTATACCAGATGACCCTCCGATTTTAGATACTCTGATCTCAAGTAAGCACATTTTCAGTACCATGTAAGAATCATTGCAACCTAGAACTCTGTGAGAAATTGTATGCTTTATGGAATATAACCCCATTTTGGTGACTGTATACACCCCTTTAAAAACTGCTCTCTAAAGTATGGAACAGAGCAAGCTCAAGCAGAATAGAATTGTAAGACCAAGAGTAAATACTGCACCTGTTGGTTAATAACTTCCAAACGTGATTCCTTCAAATGTGTCTTCAACCATTCAGTAGCCCGGAAAGAAGGGTCTACCAAAAATGGGCAAACTTTACTCTAGGGGAAAAAAAAAAAAAAAATATATATATATATTTACTGAAATCTGTTTTGTTTAAGAATAAAATTGAATTAACAAACTGTTTAAAGAGACAATAACAGCCTAATAACAAAATAACAACAAACAACAGCAGAAGGAATTTTCTGTCTTTTTTTAAAATTTAAAAAAAAAAAATGCACCCAAACCCAAAATTCTTAGGTGGTTGTCATGCTAAAGTTCTTCACCTTCTCTTAAAAGCAGAAGCCCCTATTGGATTAGTATAATCTACAGTTTTTGTTATTCAGAACTGCTTTGAAACTTAAAAGAAGAGGTATTACTTTTCCTTTTTCTTCCTGTAGTGGGTGAAGGTACAGTACTTCTGGTTCTGGACCTCAATGCATTTTAGAAAGCATAATACATCTAAGTATTTTGCAGGCATAAAGACATAAATAGCATTTTACTCACAACCACAAACAAATCCAGATCTCAAATTTGCAAACACTACAAAGTAGAATATTTTGGTGATATTGCCTAGTAACATTTATACTGACAAGACAGTAGTTTTTCATTTTAATAAAACTTTTATTAATGTGTGGTCCCCATAACAGTACTGTGCAAAGCTTTACTATTTTCTTATATTATAAAAAGATAATTTAAGCTATATACATTGCTTTCTAAATATTGAGAATTTAACCACTGATACACTAAGTGCTTACACAGAACTTACACAATGGTCACAACAGAGTGATCATAGAGATGATAGCAAGCAGGCAGGTGAAAAGAGACCTATTCACTGTTGACATCTTCATTTAAGATTTCACAGAGTCACAGAATGACTGTGATGGGAAGGGACCTCTGGAGGTCATGTTGTCCAAACCACCTGCTTGAGCAGGGCCACCTGTAGCTGGATAGCCCAGGACCATGCCCAGATGGCTTTTGAGTATCTCCAGGGATGGAGACTCCACCACTTCCCTGGACAACCTGTGCCAGTGCTCGGTCACTCTCACAGTAAAAAGAAGTGTTTCCTGATGTTCAGACGGAGCCTCCTGTGTTTCAGTTTGTGCCCATTGCCTCTAGCCCTGTCACTGGGCACCACTGAAAAGAGCCTCACTCTGTCTGCTTTGCACCCTCCTTTCAGGCATTGACAGACATTAATAAGATCCTCCTGAGCCTTCTCTTCTCCAGGCTGAACAGTCCCAGCTCTCCCAGCCCTTCCTCATAGAAGAGACGTTCCAGTCCCTTTGTCATCTTCGTGGCCTTTCCCTGGACTCTCTCCAGTACATCCACGTCTCTCTTGTATTGAGAAGCACACAACTGGACACAGGACTCCAGGTGCGGCCTCACCAATGCTGAGCAGAGGGGAAGGATCACCTCTCTCCACCTGCTGGCAGTATCGTGCCTAAGGCAGCCCAGGATACCATTAGCCACCTTCTCAGCAAGGGCCCATTGCTGGCTCATGTACAACCCAGTGTCCAACAGGACCCCCAGGTCCTTTTCTACAATTTGCTGGCCCCAGCAAATGTTGGTTCTCTTCCCCAGCCGCTGGACTTTGTAATTTCCCTTGTTGAACCTTCTGAGGTTCATGTCAGCTCACTTCTCCAGCCTACCAAGGACCCTTTGGATGGCAGCTTGACCCTCTGGTTTATCAGCCACTCCTCCCAGTTTTGTGTCATCTGCAAACTTGCTGAGGGTTTAAACACATATTTTCAGCAATTCTCTGGTTCAGTCTGACCGAAGAATGCTTTCAGGGTTAGTTTTCTTAGATTCTGAAACCTACTATTCCAAACTAAGTAACTACACAGATCTGAAAGGCAAACTTGGACAATATCCAAGCATTAAAAGATGATGAGCATAAAGCTTGAGAACTGTACTGTAGATGACATTGGTAAAATACCATGTCCAATTCCAGTTTTAAAAGGATGCCAATAAAAACTGTACACAAAGAAAATTATTTGAGCTGAAGGAGGCCTTGAAAAAGCTCTTCACACACAGTGAGATTTTTAAGAGCTCAATCTACTCAACTAAGGAAAAAGATGAAAGTATAATTTGATTATAGCATGTAAGTAGCTTTAAATGTACAAAATGGTATTTATTACAGAGCTTTTTAATCAGACCGAGAAAGGAATAACCAGATCTAATATCAAGATGATAAAGTAAGATAAATGTAAATTGGAGAAAAGGCTGTAACTGATTTGAGAAAATCATCAATCGTCCAAGAGAACTTAACGACGACTGTAAACATAGTATCATCATTCTTTTCTCAAGTATTATTGGCTACTGGCCTTAAGTGAATGGCATTTTGTATCTTATGTCACATAACTAACCTGATGAATTTAACGGGTTTAAAATCTAGGTGTTTTAAAAGGTACCTGCATACATTCTTTTCCTTTTTCTGAGAAAAAAAAAAAAAATTAGAAATTATATGTCAAAGTAAACATATATAGGAGACGATCTTCCACTGACTGTACTGGTGTTAATGATTACTCATACTTTAACCCCTGAATAGACTGATACCAGGTATTGTCTGCTGAACGTCTGGAAGAAAACTGTAAAAGCAAAAAATGTCTATTTTCTTTAATTGGGTTTTTTTTTTCTTTTGCTACAGTATACCCAGTTACATAAGCATTTGCTTCTCTATGTGTGTTCTGTGGTGCTAATAAAATAACACAAATTAAATAGTTCAAAATTCCAGAAAGATGCCACATTACTGAAATTTGTAGAAGTTGAAATATTTCTAAGACAAGACAAAAAACCAAATTTACCTGCAAGATGACAAGAGCATTTTCTATTGAAAGGTCATCTGAAGGTAAACCTTCACTCTTCCAAACTAACTCCTCACTTTCTGTACACAGGAACCGCCGTAAATCAAACTCTGGTAAATGAAACAGTGTAAGTTTGTGCTATTATTTATAGTCTGCACAGTTTTTAAGCATTTACCACTCTACACACAGTGAAGATTCTAACACAGTGCGAGTCTCTAGATTTCCACTAAATTTATTATTTCATTGCTTATTACTTATTACTATTAACTAGCTGATGTCATAAAAATATTTAACGGTGTTACTAATACACATAGATAAAAATGATTATTGAAAAAGCAGAAGCATTCAGAATGCATTGGCAAATTTCCCACAGTTAATGTGAATACATTCATTCATGTAAACTCTTCTATTTAGCAAGGACTATGGAGCTAAATCTTAAGAATTTGTAAGTATTTAAAATCTTAATAACTAATAGAACAATTCTAAGAAATAGTCTATCTGTATATACAAGTATTTATCGAGTAAGAAACTGTTGTCGCTTTTCATTTGGGTACACCAAGACAACTGAGACTGTTTATTAGAACTCACTTCCTCAGTCAAGCTTAATTACACACACACATCTACACATACCTACACACACCCCCACCCCCACTCTAATTACTTTCAAGGCCTGCTGATTTGGTCCATTCATCCAAGCTGTTTTTCCTCTGATCCTCAGAAGCAGCAGATAGGTAAGTAATAAATGCAGCTGCTAACTGAGCTCTTTTAGGCAACGTAGCCAGTTCATCTGTTATCTCTGACACCTTAAAAAAAAAAAAAAAAAAAGTACAGAACATATAGGTGTATTGCAAACAAAAAATATGTTAATATTTCTCATCAGTTACTTAAAAGTCAGAATTAAATTTGCCTGCCATTGAGAATACTGTTGAGACAGCCTCTCTTCTTGCATTTCAGGTATCTATACCTAGCTAACCCACAACAACGCATAAAAGAAAGTACAGGAAAAGTTCTCTTTAGCTCTGGGCCAGATCATGGACAGCTGTTTCTGAGAATTTAGCTACTAAAAATCTATTAATTTGATGAAGAGTTCATCTTGTCACACATAATCAACAGAGTAAACAGAGAGAAAAATAAGAAATACGTGACCCTAGTCACAGTCAGCAAGTACCACTTACAACGTGTACACAGATACTAAATACTATGTGTATCTATTGCACTTAAAAATGTGATTCACTGCAGACTTAGACTATAAAATACATTTATCATATACCTTCAAATAATTTATCTGCACTACATTGCCTCTACTTGAAATGTTCCAGTGTTTTGGACAAAAATACAGTGTATCAAAATAATATGACTGACATAATTGGTTTAAAAGTACTGTCACTTTTTTACTTTAATCAAATTGACATTTAAAAAAAAAAGCCTTTACACAAACAAAAAAAGCAAATTTTATCACTTTCTCCTTACTTTAAAGGGAGATGAATACTGATTTTTCACCATCCTCAATATGGGATGAGTTCCTGGCTAATATATCTGCCAGTTTGGTCTACAGCATACCATTAGCAAATAGTCTGAACTTTCTAAAGACAGCTGTAATGTATCAGAGCAAAAAAACTTTGAAGAATCACTTTTAGAAGCACTTAAACTCTGGGTTTCAGATATACCCAATCCTTACTACAGCAGAAGGAACTGCTGTAAAGTTACTTTCAGAGGAAAATCTTCCATTTCTTTTGATTATGCTGGTCAACCTACAAGAAGGATTCATCTAACCCTAACTTTAATTCTTCAAAATGCAGGCATTTAGTCTAATTGTTTAGGCAGTGCCAATGGAGAGATGGGACCATGTCTCTCAGCAGGGAGATTTCTTCCATTTTAAGACAACCAAGAAAGCTTGGTATCTCTTTCTGGAGTTGACAGCTATTTTCAGCTTGTATATATCTTGAAATTGAAATTTTCCTTTCTCTTTCAGACTGAAGAAGGGCCTATGTGTCCAAAGGCTTGCCAGCTTCTCCCAGACATATCATTTGAGCAAATAAAATATGCTCACTTTCCCTAATTTAGAAGCAGAAAAGTTTCAAACATGTAAGTGAATACTTCAAAAGCAATGCAACATTTTGGGTAGGTCTATATTTGCATTTGCAACTTCGATGCCATAAAGGAGATATGTTTTAAGACTATGATTGTTTAATGTGTTCCCAAAATCCCTCCCTTCTGATTGTATCTCAACTTGGAGGGTCAAATTGCTGACATGTTCAGCCATCATAACAATTACATTATTACTGTGATTGAAAAACATCAAAGAACGTCATATGTTCTATATTAAATACTGGGGTTTTTTTAGACATTCTGTATCATGTGATATAGGTACGGTAACTTGTACAGTGGAGTAAAAGGAAGTTTCAGAAGGATGTCATATGTTCTATATTAAATACTGGGGGTTTTTTAGACATTCTGTAGCTATGTGATATAGGTACGGTAACTCGTACAGTGGAGTAAAAGGAAGTTTCAGAAGGAAGAAAAGCTTTTATTTCCAATGAGAAATCAAATAAATGTACACTTTGAGACATGCAGAACAGCAATAACACCCACTCTACAAACAATGCAAGAACTGTATTTTCAAATTATCAGCTATAAGTTGTATTTACGAAAATTTCCACTGACCTGGGTGCTCCACCTTTTGTGCTCCCTATCGAGTTGATTTATCAGTACCTCTGCAGACTTCAATGTCTTCTGAGCTTTGCTTAGTTCTGCTTCAAGTTTTGCTGCTTCTGTTGTTCTACTCTGGAACCTGTAAAACAACTACTGTTTGTAATTGCTATCACGAACTACTAAACTTAGGGACAGTTATTTTCAAAACAGTTTAATTGACCGATTTTGTAATGAATTCCTCCCCTATTGCTCACGAAGAACACAACTACAATTCTTTTTTATACCTTCTGCTTCAAACTGGCAGATGAGCTTTTTAGACTTTTCACCAACAAAATTTAGATAGATGCACAAGCGTGATCTGAAAACACATTTGCAGTATGGACTATAGTGTCTGAAAATCATTCCTTCTTCCACTTAAACAGCCTGATTTGATTTTAGTGATTGTGTTAAGTTTTGTTCTGTACCTAGTCCGGACAATAGCAGGCTCAAGGCCATACTATACATTTATAACTTCTTGGTACATTTGATCTATGAAACCTTTAAAGGAGAATATTGCTAATTCACACAGGTGACCCTAGTTCAACGCACAGTATTCTATTTTGTAAACTACTATGAAGTAAGAACACGCTCCAAACAACAGGCAAGGTTTAGGTATTTTTTGGTAATATTTAAGAACAAATTACTTTAATTATTATTTAATTAAAATAATTAATGCATTTAATAATCCACCTCTTTAAAGTAATATATTTAACTGTAATATATAGTATAGAGCGTATTGTTGATCTAAGACATCACTATATAGCTGAATTACAAGAAGAATTCTCCAATTATTTATTTTGGCGGACTAAAAAACATGACTTCTAGTAAAATGCACATATGTCAGGTGGTAAAGTATCTCAAATATTAACTACGTAATAGAAACATTGAACTAAAAGACTTGGATTAAACTGACTTTGGAGAAAGTATAAAGGTTCAGCACAGGAATTTTTATGCCACTGTGAGTCACATACTTGATGAGACGCTAAGAAAAAAGAAGATAACGAACCAGCTAACTATCACAAAAGTAAGCCACCCTAAAAGAAACAGAACTGCTTTTATTCAAGTTATGATCAGCAGAAGTCTTGTATAGGAACGTTTCCAAAGACCTAAGGAGACATTAAAGTGTTCTTAGATATAAAAGGTGAGAGACATAGTGTTTATCTTTGACATATACATTGTCTACACTGAAGGCTTCCAACACAGTCAGCAGTGAGAAGCACCTTTTCATCTGATCAATGAGATGAACTGTATTCTAACAGTATTTATTTATCTCCACTGAGTGTATAGATGGCCTAACTATCCCTACTTCTGATGTAAATACCTTGCAGACCAGGGAGTTACATTTGGTTAGACAAATTTCATTATTCATACTGTAAAATCATTAATTTTTTATTAATATCTTGAAATAAAGAAACCAAACTTACTTATCTTTCAGTTCCGATACTTTTTGACCAACGGAGTTCAGAAGACCTTCTAACTTCTGTTTTCTGTCTTCAGTTTTCTTGAGATTACTACAAAAATGTAACAGTTATTTTAAGACTATGGATCCAAAGGAAAAAAAAATAGTAAATGTAACAGGAAAGTCATTTACATTGAGACCGTTCTTTCTTGTGATTTATGGTAACAAAAATTTGTTTTCACATGTAAAAGTTTTGACTACTTCTCATCCTATAGGTCTAAAAATGAAAACCAAACACCCCATTCACACATATTCTTAAAGATCAGAATAAATTCTTCCAATACAGAATTTTAAAACCTGGCAAAACCATCAGTATAAATTCCTCATGTTATGGATGGTGTAAGATTACGTTATATCTTTTCGATCCCAACAAGAAAGTGATTGTACTTAGTACATGACTGAAAAAAGAGGACGTACACACCTCATAAAATAGCATGGTTTTCACTGACAGAATGCATTTTAAGCATATTTGTGATGTTCATTTCTCCCTGTCACATTTCAGCTGAGACAGGTAACTTGATTGGCTAAAAAATATCCAAGACATAGATTCCAGGAAAGACAAAATATTACTTACTTACAGTGTTCATGCTGAGACAGAAAAAGTATTACCTGTGGACGAAGTACGGTTTCTTATATCTTTTCCTTTTAATAAACTTCAATTCCTCCTTGGCTGCTTTAGTTTCACCCACTACCATTGGAATTAGGAACATTTATTTTGTAAGTGTCTAACTTACGCTTCCAAGCCAGCCTTTTCTCTTTCCAAAGGCTGAATTCGTTCTAGGACATGAGAATACTGGACATTGGCATTCACCCAAGCCGCTAATGGAGCAGCTGCAGCACTGGCTCGTTTAGCATTCTGAAAAAATCAGTAAGTTACAAGAAAGTCCCTAATGAGATAAATACAGGATAAATAATTGCAACAGATTTAAGAGTTATCAACTTAAACATGCCAATTAGCCAGCTCCTGTACCAAACTAATCTTTTAAATTGTTACTAAGAGATTATATTGTAGGCCATCAATCTGTGTAAAAAAATAATGAGTATCTTTACAACTACGAAGCTTCACTGAAGTTAGGAATTTTTACATTAACACGTAATTTATCAGCATGTTCCTTCTCAGGGAACTGCAACCTTCCTTTTAAAAATAAGGAACTAGTATTTACGAATTCCTTTTTATAGCTACTGCCAAATCAATTCTCAAAGATCACCCACACATTTAAGCATCATTAGTATTCCTTTTTTTAATTAAGTGTACTGTTAAGACACATATTAGACAATCATGTCTTTTTTTTTTTCTTTTTGTCTTTTTTCATTTTATTTAATGCAATCAGGAATTACCTTCGGATCAAAGGATGTTCTGTTTTTAGAAAGAAGTTCTTCAACACTCTCTCGTATTTCTTTTGGAATATTACGGGCATCAAAGGTTGCTATGTCCTCCCTCACACCTCTTTTGGCCAAGAAACTGTAAAAAGAATTAAATAACTATGTAAAAAAGAAACAAATGTTAAAGAAGTCATTTTCCTATGAAACCAAAGAATTCTGCACACATGTTATTCCTGAATACAATAGTATTTCATACTGTAAATTACTGTTTAAGTTTAAGGCTTAAATAAAATCCTCACCTCTTCATGCTCACCCATGATGTATCAAAAATCCCCATCAGACGTAAAACTCCTTCTAGTATGTCTCTGATTATGTCAGGGGGCATCCGTAGTGACCGGATTTCTGACAAAGACTCTGGCTTTATATTTCCAACTGCTAATTTAGCTTCATTAACCAGTGGCTTAAAACATAAAAACACATTAAAAAGAGATGAAGATACAAGAAACTGAACATTTGCCACTTCAGTTTTTACACAATTTCTTGTTCTTTTTACATATTTTATTACCTAACCAACCGCCATTGATGCATATTCATGTGCCAAAGTTATTAAAAAATAGCCATGTGTTTATTAAGTGATAATAAATATATTTCCATGTAAATCAGCATATGATAAGCTTGACATCCCCTAACTTTTCATTCAGCACTATAATTCATAAACATTATATGGAAATTATTATCAACCATGTTTGTGCGCTCTTTCATTGCTTAAAAGTTCATTGTGATACAGATATGTTTTAATAATGATGCTAATTACTATTTATAGGCATATCTGAGGATATCTTTGCAAAGATATGTAGAAGCACAAGTCACAAATGCTTTCTATTTTCAGTAGCTAAATGAATCTAGATAGCCTTTGCCCTTATCAACAAAGCAAACAAATCAAAGTTGCTGTACTTCATTCCTTTATTCTTTAATACAATTGTAAAATGGACGGGATGAAAAACAGACACTAAAAGCAATGACTGAACATACGTACGTCCCAAAAAACCTGATGCTTAATGGCTGTAAGGTCTCTTGAACAAGCAGTTTACCATAGTGCTGTTAGAATATACTTCAATAAATAATAATAAAACATTCCACAAAATCTACAGAACTCAGCTGTAGACCATGGTAGCATAGAAACAGCAAATGGAGATAAAATTTGGCCTGAAAATTCTTTATGTAATTAAGATCTAATAAAACACAAATTCCAGAACGCAATCTAAATCTGGCAAATAGAATACTGTTTTCTAATGCATGAAAGTTTTAATAGCATAATAATTTAGGGCCAAGATTTAAGAAATACAGGAATCAATTTTGCAGAACCGTTTCGCATGGCAGGACTTCAGTAAGTCAAATAAAATCAGACTACAAAATATTACTGTCCCTTATAGCTCTTACCTGAACCTCTTTTAGTTCATCTTCAATTTTTCTTTTTCTTTCTTCTATTTCTGCAGCCTCTTCTGCTATCCGGTGTTTTATTTTTTCCATCTCTGTTTTTTGCTCACTAGCACTCTGGAAAAAGAAATACCTTTAGTTTTCAAATTTACACAGATTTTATCCTTTCAGGTCTCTTATTTCTTTTAGTTTTGATTATAACATAATTTGCACAATATCAAGTACAATAAACCTGAGACCATGTGATATTACACAGTTTGACTAGGTAACTAAAATTATACGGAATAAGCATCTTTAGCTTTTACTGTGTCTCCTTCCCTTTCTTTACCACAAACAAGATCTGTACCTCTATTTTTAAGACTCATTATCACTTTTTTTTCTCCTTGCCTCTGATTTTCCATTCCTTATCAAAATATCAGTCCCCCTCTAAAACGATAAGAGTGACAGCCTCTGTAACATTCTTACTACATTTGAAAGCAACCTATTCCTGCCATTTTCCTTGTAGTTCTCACATTTCTTTTACGACACGATTAAAACTCTCCTGTTCTATAATGTTCATAAAAGCAGCAGTTAGGCTGGAACTACCGGCTATTAGCCTAAAAACACTTTTTTACTTGTACATCTGTCTGTAAGGACACCTGTCATATGTCCTACACATATATTGTAAGCTGTTTGGGTTTACATCTTTTTTTTTCCCTGGATTCGTACTGTGCCTACCATACAGCAGAGAGTAGCTATTAGCCATCTCCAGGACTCCTAAGCACTTCAGTACAACAATAAATACCTAGTATATAAAACTACAGTTAAAAGGACCTTACATATCCTCAAAATAACCCAAAAAAACCCAAACAAAACCAAAAAAAACAGGACTACCAATACTAGTTACAAACCAAATAATCAAGGGTAAATGCATAAAATGCATAAAACAAAATACTAATATTCCAGGCTCAGTTCACCTTAAAGATACAAGACAACGAAGCCCAGAGTCTACATTTTCCCAGTATATAACACATTATTATAACCAGCAACTGTCAAGCTGAGTTGAACTTGCAGCAGAAGGTAATAGATGTATATAAGCAGAGAAAACCTTGAGATTAATAATAATGTTCCTGAGCACTTAACCCAAGCTATAGACCAGCATGTCATCGAAGATTACATTCAAATCCATAAAAATTACCTACATAAAACCAGATTAGTCATTTCATGCAAATGTACACATACTGAATGATGGCTCTGAATAGGAAAACATTAAAATTCAGTTGTAGGTCAAAATCCTTGCTCTGAAAGAAGATTAAAAGAGTCTACGTATTAGAGTCCTCTCTCTTACATAAACTAGAACATTTGAAGTGACATCAAAATGCTAGAGGGCATCTATACTTTATGCTAATCTAAACAATCAGGATTCTATTGTAATTTTTCTGATGTCAGTGGACCCATCATGGTTCATTGCTTTTGGCTTATTCTTTGATTTTGTCCTACAATGTAATATGTGCTACCCACACAACATGTGACTCTACACAACAGCTGACACAGACTCAAAACAGAAATCAGGGAAAATGGCGTGATAAATTCTTTGAGGCCAACAGTGAACATACCAAACCAATCATCATTATTCAGGATCAGGTACAGTAGGCAGATGGAGCCTAAAAGTATTAAAATTTGCCAACGGAAGCAGACATAAAAATGGGAAGTAATGCACCTTTAAAGCACTGTGAACCAAATGGTTTGAAAGGCAGCTACTTTACTGCATACAGAGAATGACTTTGTCATTGAGCTTCTGTATTTTTTTCCTTCACCCTGATCAGACTAAACCAGGGACAAAACAAACAGCGTAGTGACAGCAGATTCCTTACGACTTAGCTTACATTTATGATTCCTGGAAGTATCAATGTAGTGATATATTTTCTGCACAATTATTTTACTTAACTGAGAAAACACTACTAAAGAAAATTATCTCCTCAAAAACCAGAATATCTACCTCTGAGATGAACAATAAAAATTCAAGGAGTGATGAACACAGAGGTATTATTTAACCTTCTTTGAGGTTGACTTCAGAGGACTAGTACTCATGAAATACATACTTTCTAATGGTCCAAAAATTTAATTCCTGGTATTTGTTACTTAAAATACTGCTACTTGTTAGTACTTTCCGTAAAGTTCCTATCTGTAATAAACACTATAAAATGGATCAGTTTGGATTTATGAAGTTTTAGGAAAACTTTCAGACTAAAGTACAGCCATAAATACTACTGAGGTACAAAACTTGTCCTGACCTCTTCCTACTCAATCAGTTCAAACATGATTTAAATTATATAATCCTCTGTCCTGTTTCAAGTTTATTCAAGCCTCAGGGCTCATGCATTCCCTTAGGCAAATTCTTGTAAAAGCATCAAGTTTTTAACCCTTGAAAAGAACAGAAAGCACAGGCCACCTCTTTCTCTTTCACTTTTGATGTGACTGTATACACCACCTGCATAGATACTGTAATTTCTTGAAGGGCAGCATCAGCCTCATCTTGCTTCGTCTTGAGTAAAATGCTTTGTTCTCCAGCTTTTCTGTTCAGTTCATCTACCAGGGCTTTGGCTTCATTCAGCTTTGAAACACCTGCCTATAAAAGTTTATGAGGAGCAGTTATTTAGCAATTAATTTTAAATGAACTTAAATGAAGGTTGGTTACAAATAGTAAGCACAAACTAAGAGTGATGTAGACTAATATTCTTAATTCTTTAATTTGTTTCACATCTTCTTGATATTAGTTACATTTTCTTAGTATTCTTTAACCCAAAAATAAGATTCGACACTTCTAGATGTGTCACTGTAAGATCTAGTACTACATCAAAAAGCTGAAAAAAAACTTCTCAAAATAACAAACTTTTAATGGAACAGCAACTAGTACACAATCTTCTTCTCATTAATTCAGTAGCATTTCAGTTAACTGATATTAACTCTGTATAATTATATTTCCTCCAAAAGCAAATCTACAAAAATTAAACAAATTGAAACAAATTATAGATTAGTCTATTTCTACATATTTGTACCTTCTCTAGAGAACATAGATGTACATAAAGCAAAGCCTCAATTATGCTTACAATTAATTCTTTTCAATTTATTCACAATTTCTAAATTATTTACTCTATGGTAAACAGATAATAGATTTATTTCAAGATATATTTGGGAAAAAATATTACCTGGAAAATGGTTTGATTTAGGATACACATCTCTAATTTTCATGTAAATTATTACTTTTATTTAACCAGAGTATTTAACAAGTAAATGAGTGCTTGTCACAAACAAACCACAGCTACTTTCTAAACAAATAAAAAAGCAATTTCTATCATTACAAACATAAATGTTCTTAAATTGCTTACTACAGTGATGGAAAAATACTGGCAGGCAGAATAAAAACAGTGTAGAACACAAGGCAAGGAAGTAATTTGTTTTTGACAGATGCTTTAAGAAGAAATACAGCTTTGCAAGTTTTAGAATAGCAGCAAGCGTCACTGGGAAACGGAGCTGAACGGGAAGGGAGAAGGCTAAAGAAAAAGAAGTTACATGTTCTAAAGGATCATACAGATCTTTCCAGAAATATACTGGGGGGAGGGAAGGAAGTATGACCAGAAAGATAACTAATGGTTTTCAAAAATAAGCATGTAATGCATACAGAACAGGAGTAAAACAACATCTGTGAGATGAACTACATTTGGTCTATAACTGTGTAAAGGTTCGATGTGAGGAAAAGGAATTTGAAATCAATTCCAAAACACAAAAGGAGACAATCACAACAAAGAGAATCTTTGCCAAAGCTACACAAGAGCACCACGAGGCTAAAGACAACAGCTTGTTGAACGAGAAGAACGCAAGAATCACACAAAGCAGGAAGTTGCTGTAGAGATATAAAGAAAGGGATGGAATATGGAGCTACACAGGGAAAAATTACACAGGCAGAGGCAGGACTTAAATTGATGGAAAGATATGGGTTGTTTGCAACACAATTTCCCATACATGTGGGTGAAAAAATTTAAGTTGCTTTCAAGTACTTTTTTACTCCTCCAAGAAAACTTAGCCAATCTGATACATACCTAAGGAAAAGTATTAAAGAAAACAAGAAACCACACTTCACTCTTTGAGGCATTTGAACAGAGATGTGCATTAAGATTCATACTATTCCTCTCCTGCAACCACAGCATGAGCTTACGCCAACAAAGGACTCCTCACACAACCATGTTAGCAGCTACAGCCATTTCCAAATTTTATATTTGGCAAGAGTATTTTAAAAAGCCATATGTTAAAAATATTTTAAATACATACCTGCAAGTGGTTCTGCTTTTCTATTAGCTCTCTTCTTTTACCGTTATTGATGGTACTGTATATATGAAGGAATGTCATATACCTGCTAGGCGTTGCTCCATACATTTTACATGATTCATGGATTGCCAGAAATGAGTTCACAAAATCAGAATCACCTGTACAACATAATGTGTTACACATGTAATAAAATACTCATTCTTATCTCCCATTAAAGTAACTAAGGAAGAACAACAGAGTACCTTTTTGAGATATGAATTAAGGGTATTCAAAATTTCTCAAAGAATATAATTTTTTCAATGCAATCTCAGGGAAACAACATGTAATTACATTTGAAAGACACATTCCTCAGAAAGAAATACCTTGAAATTTTTTCAAAGCCACAAAATATTTCACTGATGTTTGGAAAAGGTGCAAAATTAATTGCATATTACTGAGGAGTAATCATAAAAGAAACTTTATTCCCACAGAAATTGAAATACTTGGACTTTGTTAGAAAGAAACCGCATGCATTTTTGTCTTCTCCCTTGTCTCTGATGACAGGCAGACTAAAAGTTTTTTCTAAACATTCCAGGTCCTTCAGTTTGTTGAACAGTTTCTCAAAAGCAAGCCCAAAGATATTGCAAAATAAATCGTAATACCCTACAAAAGAAAAAAATTGCTAAAACATATCTACATATAAATGAATGCCTTTATTAAGTACAGAGGCATAGATTAAGTACCACGATCTAGGATAAAGATGGATGGTAGCATGAACACTAAATCCTAAATTTGGCCATTATTCTGATGGGCTGGAATGCCTATTAAAAATCAATACAAAACAAGAAACTCCAAGTGAACCACTCACTATTTTATAATCTTTTGGCTTCATGACTTCTAAACGCTACTTAGACTGATGCTTTATAATAAGTGGCTAAAAGTAGTGCCATGCAATGAGTGTTCGCACTTGTCTCCCAGATTATCACACTCTGGTTTTGAAATGGTTAAATCTGAAGTTTTATAAAAACAAATTATTCTGTAAATGGGGCATTACTTAGAAGAAATTAGTTATTGGAGGTAAAGAATTATTAAAGTAAAATGAAAAGGTCTAGGACAAGAATAGTGAAAACATATAGATTGAAAAACTCTGAAAACGTCAAATTTCAAGATCGTGAAATACCATCCAGACAGAAGGCAGACACAGAACAACACAAATGAAGATTCAGCTTAACCGGTTTATAAAATTGAATATTCGTAGCTATTGCTCATGGCAGAAGAGACTGCATTTGACCAGCCAGGAGCTGCATTCCAGACTAACATTCCCTTGCGCAAAATGCCTGTCATGTGAACAACACTAAAGTCTATGAATATGCTGGCAAAAACATACTCAAAGTATTATGCTATTATCTATATCCAACACAGGACTGAATAAATGTTTAATAATAAGTAATAATAACTAGTGGGTCCACCTAAACATTACCTAAATGTTTTTTCTTAAGCTCCTTATGTGCTTTTCCAGTCTTTTCTTGTTCATCTGAATCATATAGAAGCATTTCAGGTATCTAAAAAAATTATAACATGATTTTTGTATGAAAATTACGAACAATGAAAATTTGAGTTAAAATAAAAACAAACCTTCAATCTAGTTTCTCATTTGAAAAGACTGAATATGATACTTTATTCAGAATAAGGTATTTTCTGTCATTCTAGGACTGCAAAAATGTGTTAAATAAGCACAGTGACAATTATTACTTCACAACTTTAAATATTCTGATATTATTCACAAAAAAGATCAGTTATTTTTGGAGATAGTAATTTAAACAAGTCATAGCTTTTAATAAATGCAATTTACCTTTTTCATACTGTTTTCTGACCAGGTTTCCATCCACAAAACCTGACATTTCTTGTAGAGTGCTGGATTACTTTCACAGTTTATCGTGAAATTTAAATTGGTAGAATCCATGATCAAAACAACATGCAGATTTTGTTGGATCCCTAAGAAAATGCAACATATTAAATATTTAGTAGGTAACAATCTGATGGTAGATTTATTGCTAATACAACATAATTTACTGTCCTTCAAATACTTATTACAAGGTAATTTCTGAAAAAAGATACTATTACATCACATCGCACTAGGGCAAGAATGTTTATAAACAGAATTTAAACAAACAAATTAATATAATGGATTCTCATTATGTATATTACAGTATATTTTTTTAATTTAGAAGAGCTGACAGTATTTAAATAGATACCACTAGCTCTCATTCCAATCAATATAAACCAACAGAACCAATTAGAAGTATTTCCAGGGCCCTTGAGTATGACTGCCAGCATCTGTATTCTTTCAGTCACAATCTTCTATTTATTTGTAAATTATTTAATCTTCTTGTTGGTCCAAGGAACAAACATAAATAATTAAGAAACTTGCTTATGATTACTCAGAATCCAAAGTGATTTGTAGATCTAATTAACAAATAGAAGAAAACTCTGTTACTAGATATAAAAGCTAAACAAACCAGAAAACAATGGGGACAAAAGCTTTCTTCCTTTGAATTACTTTCAATACCAGATTTCATAACAGCTTTGTAGAACATTCATGGATACAAAATTTCAGATAGAAGAATGAATTTTAAGCTGAGGGTTCTGTGCCCTCAAATATCACACTGTAATCATATTCCTGCCTGTTTTTCTAATAACAAACTGAAAGTTTAAAAAAGCACATAAAAGAAGGATGTTAGAAATTATGTGTCCATTATTATGACACTTTGGTAACTTTGGAATAAATTATAAATTGTAATTCTGTTGACATACGGTATGTGAAATAGTTGAAAATTGGTCCTGTAAATCCATCTTGTGAAGCTTGATCCTTCAGAGGAGACAGCAATGGTTCTAATTCTTCTATTTTATATAACCCAGGAACTTCTCCTATTTCAAGAATTAATTTAAAATATCAGATTAAATACACTAAAATTCTTCAAATTCCTTTGAAGGATTCCCTTGAATCCTCTGTATAGAGAACTTGAACATGGCAGTATTCACCTCCATACTATCGTGAGTATCATCCCATGTACTTCATCATTCTTTTCATGGTGTCATCAAAACAACAAACCAAATTATAGTGATTCCATTTAATTTAAACAGCCTATTTTGTTTATATTACTGGAATATATTTCAAAAACTTATTCGAATTTATCCAATACCACACACAAAACAAATCAAACCAGACTTTGTCATGCCCTAGAAAAAGGAAACACGAGAGTAGCTTTCTAGGTCCTCAGACATAGAGGTGTAACACTAGATGATGAGAATCTGTTACTGTAAGGAGACTTGGATTTGCACCTGGGAGACAGGAAAATCCGGTGCTTTTATCAATCAGCTCTTCACTACCACAGTTCCAAAACACATTTAGTAAGTTAGACTCAGTCCTTCAATGACCTCTCTCTTTAAGGAACAAAGCTAGATAACAAAATGAAGTCACTTTTGTTATTTGTTATTATTATTTATCATCTCACTACTTTCAGAAAAGTGGGCTTTGCTGGTGTTCATTGAAGAAAAGGACTCAATCAAAACATTGGGACACCTCTCAATTTTGAATTTTATTAGAAAAGGGAAGCTGTAGAGCAGAATACATTATCATTTTGTTGTTACACTATTATAAAGGACTCCTTTGAAATAAGTTACTTAACTTGCAACTTTGAGGAACTGAAAGCACCCGTACTGTAGGGTAGGTTAAAGGATACCTAAGTGAACTTCAAGTCAGTTTGTCATGTACAAGCACTCTAGCCAAAACAGCACAGAAAGCTAACTAACACTTCTGGTATGGACATAAAATTAGAAAATATCATCTAATTCTGACTCATTGAGCTAACTCTGCATTGTAAAAGTAGTACCATAATCTTTTTGGATTTGTTTCACCTGAAGACAATAAACTGTTGATCATCTCAAGGAATGTGGAATGAACAAACTGATAGTCTTCAAGTAGCAATACCACCTGCTGTGCTTCAATGCCCGCAAGCTCCATCACCTAGAAGCAGTGAAGACATTTAAGTCTCAGTATATGGAATATAGGTATTGTTCATAAGAGAATTATAATCTTTCCTTGATTATACATATATATATATATATTCTCCACAGCATCTACACTATTATATATTCACAAAAGATGACTAGGTGATTCAGTTATATGAGATATCAAATACAAAGAACATTCTACCTAGACATACAGCTTGGTAACGAAAAAAATAATTAAAACCAGATTGTTTCATAGAGTATATTTATGTTCCAATTGTGACTCAATTACAGAGTTGTAGAGCTTTTTTGTGGGGGCTTAGCTCTATAATTTTCTTTAACATTCCTGAAAGTACTGGGAAACTCCTGATTCAAGGTTTGTATTTGTCTTTAAATACTATGTACACTTTCATTGATCACTAAAATGTTACTTGATTCAGCTACTGTCCTATTACTTTGCAGACTACAATAGACATAGAAAATAAAAATATATACAAATATAAAAATAGATACATGAAAAACAACCTTTCCAATATTCACATAAACTTAGAATTTATTAAATCCACAACACTCATAAAACCAGCTCTGGTATTCAAAAAAAGTAGAGTTTGAGGTAACTACTACAAACAGTATAAATATCTAGACACCAAAAACTTCTAAAAATCAACTTGTTTTGTTCAGACTGTTGACATTTTGCTTTTCTTAAAATAGTGTGTGAAGGACACAACACTTCTGTGTTCTTCAAAATTCCCGCATTTTGGTTTGGTTTTTTTTTTAATACACACCTACAACACTACAAAATGGAAGACACTGAGTGACTTACATATTTAAGATCATTTTTGAACTGCTTCAGCTCATAGCCTCTGGAAATTTTGGGAGTAACGAGAACAGCTCCATGCATATGACTAACTAAAGAGGTAACTGTTCGACGGCCTACACCACTCCGTCCTGCCAAAAGGAGTGATCCTCCAGGAAAACTTAGCACTCTGTCCACTTTAGACATATAACTGAGGACTTCTTGGAACAGTAAAATCTCTATCTCTTTTTTGTCTCGCCCATAATGAATGATACCCTATTAAAAAAGAAAAAAAAAAAGAAATATCTTTATTAATAATAAACAATGCAGTAAGACATGAAAACATCCAACATTTAAAAGTTTATAAAAAGAAATGCTTGAAAGCTTAAGTGACCATGTTAGTATTCATCACAAATAAAATATTTATGTGACAGAATTTAGATACTTCACATACCCTTTACCAGTAATGAACAGATCGCATTACCCCCAGCACCAGGATACCCTAGAACTCTTTGATATATTGAAACAGAAAACTACCACTGAATTAATTAAAATTAAATAATGGACCAGAACAAAGTCCAAGCTGTGTCTCTGACTACAGATTAATTAATACATAACTTAGAAGAGTGTTTTAGGCAGCTAATTGCTGCATAATTGCAATTATAGAATTTCCTACTGAAATTCACATAATAACAGATCCTAAGATCAAATTCTGGCCTTCTTAAAATCAGTAATACCTCATCTTTGAAGCCAAATGTAATTGCGAAGTCAGGAAAAATAACCCAAACTCTCTGATTACTGAGGCTATTGAACTTCAGCATTTCCCATATAGTCTATTCGTCACAAGTTGGCAATTAAGAAGAGGGTGTAGTTTCCCATCTACAAGAGCAGTCCATCAAACACTACTACTAAGGGGAGATGATCTCAAAGCTCTCATCCTGAAAATCAGTCAGCCTAGCAGAGTTAACATTTGCACTTCCTCATCAAGCTCATTTTTTTGTACTTTACTGTTTAAAGGCATGCCAAATCTCCAAATAATCCATTTGTATTTCTTCAAACAAAAATTACGTTAGCGAATTATAAATTTAGAAAGTAAACATTTAGTAAAATATTTGGTATTCAAACAATACACGGTCATATATGCACATCAATGTTTCTCAAAATGTTGCTCATCAAACTGTTGTAAAACACCAGCAAATGCAACTGATGCCCTTTCATTAAAATAACCTTGCTACAAGACACTTCCTACTGCCTCCCATATAGCATCACAAACCTTCCTTCACTTGATCAAATGCAAAACATGATTCCTCCTACAAGCAGCAGAACCCACCCTAAACCTGGTGCTCGCATGTTATTTCCTGCAAAAAATGTCTAAATAAGTGCTGTGAATCCTTGCTGTGTATATTCTTTAATCTTGTCTCACTTTTTGAATAATATCTTTCAGGTCTGTTGAGTTTAGTCTGCCAAGTTGCCTCCCATGTGGTGGTAGGGCCTGTCCTGGTGTGATGAATGCCTCTTGACAAGCTCCCCAAGTTACATAGAAGATATCTACGAAAATAAAAGGAAACATTTGAAAGTCTGGGTGCTCAGCTTGATCCAACTTGATCAGAGCGATTTGATTAGGCAGTTCCTAAACAAATATTTCAGGTTTGTGTAGAATGCCTCAAATGGTTTACCTGCCATATTCTCCAGAACATCTGAGCCCCAATCACCTTGAAACACTTTCATCAAAATATTATCGAATACATGAAGTTCTTTCCTGCCAACAATTTTGTCACGGAACAAACGACATGCTTCATAAGCAACAATTTCTAATACATAGTCTGCAGTTTGTGTCGATGATCCTACAAAATTTAAGGAGAGATTTAACTTTATATATTTATAATAAATTTTAAATTTCTCAAATTTTCCATTTCAAAATATGATATTGAAAATGAGTAGGTGAAATTACATACCAGCAGAAGAGCATCGGTAAGGAAGAAATAAGAGAAAAAGTAAACATTATGAAGTGCTTTTTAATAATATCTTTATGGATCAATACAAGATAAAATGAAATATATTCTATGAAAATGAGTTCTCCAGTTTAGTGCCAGCATTCCAATGAAAATGAATAAGGTGTCGCACATGAAGTAAAAATTAAAGGACAAAATTCCAGGTAATGAAAACAAGAAAATCCAGGAGACTGTTTTAAAGGTGAAGAGAAAGATAACAAATACTAAACCAACAATAAATATCCCAAATAGTCTGTATTATAAAATGCCACTAGAGAATGCAAAGCTTCAATATTCTTCACAAAAGCAGGAAGGTGAGGTGAGTAAATGATATGCCAAATTATTCATCACTGAAAAAGCGTATACACATGTCACCTTCAGAAGCAACAATAGAGTCCTTAAATGCGCTATTACCCATTCATTGATTGCCAGTGTAGCCTTTCTGACCTCATTCAAGCTACATTTATATCATCTGATGACCCCAGAAAATAAATGGAAAGCGAGCACAACATTCTTGTCACCTTTACCCTCTTTAAGCTGCCCTCTATGTAACCCTTTAATTAATCCAAGAGCTAAAACACAATAAGGAGTAATTGCTCATCATCTAGTAATAACAGCAATTTCAGCGACAAAAACAAGATTAGAAAAAAGCCCATGCTGTCTATTTGGAAAAGCACACAAAATTTAATACCTTTTCCAAAGTTAAGGAAAGAAGAACTTTCAGACTAGACTGTAAGTAGCAAGCATTCCCAAACTATGAGAATATTTAGGCTCTTACATAGATATTTTTAAACTTTTACACAGATGAGAGAGTTTTCTAGATGATATCTATACGTTTAAGGGTGGTTATATTCTTCTTTTGTTAAGTAGGTCATAGATGATGTGCATCAGATGTAGTTCCACAGTCACCTCAACAGGTTTATACTATCAGGTATAAAAAGACAAGCATGAGAGGCAAGTCTCTTGGAATCCAAAAGACCAGACATATGCTCAAAAAAACCCGCAACCCAAAAAATGCAAAAAAAAAAAAAAAAACAAAAAAATAATGGGGACTAGGTGTTACACTTCAAGTTCCCATAGTAAAGAATTTAGTCACAACTTACTAACTTCCCTTAATCTACATATAGCTCCCACACATCTTTTAAAACACCATTGGAGTTTTTGAAACTTGTTTACTATATGTTATGGAATGACCTGTTAGGTATTTTCTCCCTCTGAGTTACAGACAGCTCGCAGTTTAGAAAGAGTGCCACAGGTGAATGAATTGCATGTGGAATCAACCATAAGACTGACATCAATAATAATTTAGCCCACTTTAGAACTGCTTTATCAATGCAAACTAAATAAGTAACTTACCACCTGCTAAATCATATCTGAATAAACCAAGAACCCACTGAGTAAGAATGCATGGTGTAAAAAGGTAATGGCTGTGATCATCAACTGTGAATTTTGCTCGTACCTAAAAATGGAAGTTAAGGAAAGGAAAAAAAAGTGAAGTTTTTGTAAGTAAACGTAGCTTTAAATTCTTCTAAAATAACAGATAAATTTATTTTCTACTTGGTCTATATATTTAGATATTTTATTAATGTGCTCTTTAGGTTTTTTTAAAAGTGAAAATATTAATTGTTTAAACCTTGTTTTCTGATCACAAAAGATTTTCTCATAATTGGAACATTTCTTCTGTACTGTTTTTGATGCAAACTGCGCATGTCACCTATGATTGTTAGTGCAGTATTATTAGGCAAAACATAAAATTTTTTTGAAGCAATATCAAACCTAAAACGCAAAGACAATGTAAAAGTGTAATAAAAAACTACCTAAATCAGTAACACTTTGTCACTACAAAACACTCCTTATAGAAATACTAACTCTTCCCCCAGAGAGGACATTTGAATCTACAACTATACCTTTAATTCAAAGAATAACTGCCTACATCAGTTATTTGGTCACAGTGTGACGTGATTCAAAAAATTTCTTAGAATACATTGATAATATCACATGAAACTCCTGCTAACTGGTCCATGCTAGCCAGCGACTATACCCACATTCAAGTCATAAAGATTGGGTTTATACCATGGTTCTGTCTAGATGGGGACATAAATACATTCTTGGAACATACAGTAAGCACTTACATCCTCATAGTACCTACCCCAGCAAGGCTGTGTACATGATTAAGAAAAGCAAGTACTTAAGTCTTTTGCTAGATAGAAGTCTGCAAAATTTTAAGTGGGAGGATAAAATGAACTTGTGTGTTTAAACATCTATTTCTAACAGCATAAAATTTTAATAGGCTCTGATGTGTGTAAAGGACTCTACCCGCCTCTCTTCTCTCTTCATAACAGCTTCAATAACATCTGAGCACATAATAATCTTTGAAGTACACTGTCTCCTCATCCATTAAGTAGGAAACTACTACTATTCTCATGTTATAAATCTGGACCTGAAAGCACAGATGGGTTAAGATGCTTGCCAAAAACATACAATAAATCTGTGGGAAAGCAAGAACACTTACCTCTTACTTAGTCTGCCTCTAATACCTAAGATTCTCTGTAAATAAGTAGCTCTAAAATTGGTACCAATATTATAAAAAAGATATAAACTTGGATTTTAATACTGATAAACCTTTTTATTCTCTTGTTAATATCAAAAGCTAATTATTTAAAAAAAAAATCTAATTTCTTCATCTCCTTGAAAAAAAATTATTTTCTATATACCTGTTCATATACTTGAACCATAGATCCTGCTAGCTGATGTATTTTTGGTAAAGAACCCCAAACAGGGTGATTCTTTAGGTTTCTCTGTAGTACAGGTTCCAAGTAGGCACTATAAATAGTCTGCAGTTGGTCTCTTTCTGGATAGCTAGAAAGGAAAAAAGAATCATTATCGCTATCATTGTTAATGTTTTTATTAAAAAGACTCAGTTACATATACAATTACTGAAAAATTTCAATGAATAGCATCTCCATCTAGCAGCTAAGTAAAATTATCATTTTATTGCAACAGGCCACCCTCAGAAATTTTCTAAATACATTTGTAAATGTGTTCAAACTTAAAAACAAACAAACTTGTTTTCAATTTCTCTGATTTTGTAACCAAACAGCACCTTAATGTAAAGCTGCAGAAAGCGGTTTACTGAAAGCAAAATCATCCAACAGGAAACGTTTCAAACACTTCACTATCAACAGGTAGCTACAGATTGCTCCTTGGATGCCTGTTGATAGTGCCAAGAGGCATCAAACGGCACCAAATCTGAAGAGCCCGAACTGTTAGAAAAGATGAAAGACTAGAACAGCCACATCTTCATAAAGACTATATTGAGCAAGGGTCCTATAAACAGAGGCTGAATCTGAGTTCTGAGAGTCAAAGTAATTTCCACACACTTACTCAATTGCACAGAGACGAACAATAGAAGTAAATCTGGAGGTAAGTTTATGTCTTCCTAATGTTCCTCCAGCAGACATGGAAGCCACAATTTGGATGTTTTCTAAACCAACCCATTCCAGATTTTCAGCATAAAATCCTTGATACGTAAGAACCTTTAATAATTAAATAAATATTTTATTAAAAGAATTCCAACAGAGTATTGTACCAAAAAAAAAAAACAACCCAAATTATTTTGAAATATACCATTATTCCTGTTTTCATAATTGCCAGAGATACACTACTCCTCCCAGTTTGGTGTTAGCTGCAAACTTGCTGAGGGTATACTGCCCCGTTGTCCAGACCATTAGTGAAGATGTTAAAAGAGATATTGACTTTTAGCTAGACTTTGTGCCACTGATCACCACGCTCTGGGCCTGGCTGTTCAGTCAGTTTTCAACCCACCTCACTATCTTGCTTATCCAGCCCATACATCAACAGCTTTTCTGTGAGGATCTTTTGGGAGACAGCATCAAAGCCTTAGTGAAGCCCAGGTAGACAATATCCATTGCTCTCCCCTTGACTACCAGGTCTGTCATTTCATCATAGAAGTTTATCAAGCTGGTCAAGCATGACGTGCCCTTGGTGAATTCATGCTGACTACTCCTGATTATTTACTTGCCATTCATATGCCCGCTGAATTATAACTCATTGAGGTAAGCATTGTCTTTATTTACTTATGTATATGTCAGATAAAAATGAGATCTTATTTCTGGCTGACACCTACATATTGTATCAAAGTGCAAACGAAACTAATGTCAATACGGATGCAGAATGTTAATTGAAAATAATCAATGTCAGTATTTACCACATACACTAAAATTTTCCAGTACACTTAAGTCTCTTCATAAACAACAGACATAAGTGTTCACCTGCTGTAGAAAAGCCACAAGAGTGCTTGTTCCCCATTTATCAGGTCTGGGTAGATTGATATCCTTTAAGTACAAAACCAGCCTTTCACAGTCCTTTGGTCTGTACACTCGCCCAGTGTTCGTACTGATCACAATGCAAGTTTGACTTAATTTTTGTAGAAGATGTTGAGAAGTAGTTTGTGCACTGCAGTGAATGGTAGCAATCTGAGTGGATCGGAGTTGAGAAAATGCATAATGAAGCAGCATCCTAAAAAAGCAAATGTGTATATACATACAAGCATTAAGTAATACATAAATTCATTAAAATACCATGTATCCAAAGATGTTGTATAGCTTTTGAATTAAAACACATATACTGCATACTGTATTAATGTAATAGGGGATGCATCAGGTTTGCTGAATTATACATTCTTGCCTTTAAAATTGTAATAGTTTCCATTCAAGAAATGCAATAAAAACCAAACAAATACCTAGCCTAAATACCTTGGATATAGTGATCTAACCCATCTAAATAAGGAACCTAAGATAGGCAACAGGATGACCTAAATTCAGTTGCCTGCACACAGGCATCTAGTGCCTCTTAACATGAGACCAGATACCTCATGTGCCTTTCAGCTGTTGCTCCATGACAGCACAAGCTTTCCAAAGGTCCTGTCTCATATCTAAAAGCCTCATTCAGATGTCTTAGATGCATAGTGGCAGCCTGAACTTTCCCTGTAGATCTTTGTAAGAATTTACATATTTGCTACTACAGAACGTTTGTTTTATTAGTAACCTAAACAAGAGATATTCTAGCAGAAAGACATTATGATAATACCATTATAAAAAAATATTACAAACTTTTGTCAATTAGCTAGAAGTATATTTTGCTTAAAATAGGAAATAGTTTTACCCCTTTCCACATCCTTCAGGACCCACAAGAAGAAACGGTTGCTTATTGTTAAAGTCTAGCCAGGGTCTGAAGTAATCTAAACCTCTTTGCATGTCAGGGGTTTGGATGACGGGAAGTGTTTGGAGATTACTGAAGTCATCAGCTGTTAAATTTTCAGTTTTCTTCAGCCGATATAGCATTAGCTGTCCAGTGTCAGTGTCATAATATGTGTCCAGGGGCTTCCTTGGATCTGGTGGAGACTCTTGTGCCCAACTGAAGATCTTTAGAAAAATAAAAATAAAGCTTCTGTTAAATCCATAATCCTAATTACAAGATCTACAATTTCAAGCTAATCTAAAGAACGTTCAAAAACTAGTTCTATAAAATCAAACATTTAATTCTTCTATTTGATAGTTTTAAGGCTGCCTTTGAAAATTTAATCATGCTATGCATACACTTTATGATTAGGTCCTTAACTAAACAGTAACATATTATTCTTCCATATATTATTTTTCATAATATAAAGAACATAAAATGGAGTGTATTTACCAAAGATTTACATAAACTTTTTTTTTCATATTAGGCAGGATATTTAATAATAATCGTAAGATTGAGGTAATTCCACATGCATCAGCAGCCAATTCCATTCCATAAACCTTTACCACCTGCCCTATATGTATATTATAGCTCCAGGCTGTCTTTTGGAAGGAACTACTTCCTCTCTCCAACACAAAACCCAAGGGTGATTGCGGAGATAACTATCTCCAGGGACAGCCTTCTGCAGACACTATGGACCAGTATACCCACATAGTTTTCCAACACTATTCCCTAACCCTTGTGCCCTCAAGTATTTACACAAAGACAGAACCACACCCCAGTGCATACAACACACAACCTCAAAATAATGCTGTTAAGAATACACCCCTGCTGAGGTGCAACAAAGCCCTCATATTATTATTTCAAGCATTCTGAACAGGGAAAAAAAAAAAAAAAAAAAAGGCACAAAATAAATCGGTGTTACATATACACAACACATACACACACACATATATAGAGTTTGCTATAGTGGGTCCTTGCATAGAACAGTATGGACAGAGGCCATTCTGTATGTCTTGGTGCGGCACCAAAGGCTTGCTACCTGGGCTGGACACACTTAGCAGTGTATCAGTGACACATGAAGCACCCCTTTGCCCCTCAACTATTTCCCTATCAGCAACACAGACTGCAAACAAATTAGAGCACAAATATTCTATTATTGTAGATCTGCACTGTTAGAAGACAGAAAACCATTATTCCTACTACATATACTGAGAAATTTTTAATAAACTTGCTGGAAAAGATTATTACCTCTTTGGCAAATTCTTGTCGTGATTTCATGTTGAGATTGCCACCAAGACCACGTAACAAGTTAATAATAAACTGTCCACGATCTGTACACCCATGAAGATGAGACAGTCCATTCATCACAGTTCCAACTAAACTTGTTTCTACCACAGAGTCATTCTGTAAATCGCAAGTTGTAGCAGATTTAAATATATTCCTAAAAATAAATGTGATGTATTGCTAGCAGAACATTACTCATTGGTCTTGACATTTCCACAAATGATGAAAGATCTCAACACCGCTGCTCTTCTGGAAAATTCACTGGCTATGGAATTATTTTTAGGCACTGATTTGGAAGTCTTAATTCCAGAATATATATTGATGTAATTTAGGATAATCAATCAGAACTTTCCTTTCACATTTTGAGAATCTGTAAGAAATCAACATAACTGTATACTGGAAATGTCTCTCTGACTGAATAGATTCTTTATGGATTTTTCTCTTTAGCACCAAAGGGCATTTGCAGCCTCAGGATAAATGTCATGGGTTTTCATCTGTATCTACCTGGAGATACTTTAAAAGTCTAAAAATCTCCATGGGTGAAAGAACCAAGAGGGGAAATAAGATTAAAAATACACCAGAACCATGTATGTTCCCCAAGGGAAGGTAATGCAGGTCTCCCAAACACTATCGTACTGGCCACAGCAGTGACGATTTCTCCAAAATAATGTTTTGTGCAACATAAGCCACTCGTTCAATGCAAATGCAACTTCTCCAGAAGAAAGGGATGCTGGGAAGCATCTAGGAACCTTAAGAAAATCTAGCCTATACAAGAACAATTATCTTGATGTATGTCCCAGAATCACAGAACCCGGATAATGTACAAGGTTTTGGACTATCTTTTTTTAGTCCTGTAATTACATATTACCTTTCACCTATTAAAACACCTTTCAGTTAAGGTTTTGAGTAGAAACCTAAAGAGCTGAAGTCATACACTTAAATCCAGGACAGATTGGTGGGAGCTGTTAAAACTTAGCATTCTGAACAGACTACTTTTCTAGATATGCCTCTATCAATCATTTTAGCTATCTAGCACTATATTTCTCCCCAATCTATTACAAGTTCAGTCTACACTGTGCAACTTTTCAAATTTCAGCTATTTTTTTTTTGTTATAGACAATAACTTAAATCTAGAAAAACAATTTCTTCACTTTTCCATTTTTTAGCTCAGACATTCAGATCTTTCAGATCTTTGAAAACATATAGAAAAATGTCCAGTATGGAAATTAAAGACAGATATTAAGTGTCATAGAAATACATGCATTTCATTAGTTAAAATTGTATTAAAAGTTTCAAAACTTCAAGTACAGCAATCAGTTTCTGGAAACTGATTAGAATAGTTCCAGTATTAATCCTATTAAGAAAACAGCTATCAAACAAGCACTGAGATATTTTTTGTATTTAAAGGTTAAAAATTAATATGAATGATCTCTTCAGTGTTAAACTAAAAAAATGGATCATCCTTAGTAGAAGCTGAAATTCGATTAAGTATTCAGTTACTAACCTTCTTCACAACCCAGTTTAAAGCTCTTTCAAAATAGTCCCCAATCCAATTTTCAAGGTTGTATCTGCATTCTTCAGGCTGACTTCTTAGCCAAGACTTTATCAGGGAATTAAGATCTGTATCTTCATCACTAACTCAAACCAAAACAAAACAAGATTCAGACAAATATAAGGCATCCACGTCTTCACATAGACAGGTTCAAGGGAACAACAAAATTGCAGGAAAAGTTCAGGGAAATACTTTAACAAGAATTTCTAACCAATACTGGGACTCTCTAAGGGTCACATGCAAATAAAGAACCCACTATGACTCTTTCAAAAAGTCAGACATATATAAGCCAAAAGATTACAACAAGACAGCGCAGAAGGGACATACAACCTAAAGTAAACTTCCCCAGTGATTTCCTTCGTAAGTGTAAGCAAGTAATTAAATTGCTCCATCCACTTTAGACTATATTTCAAGAAAACTAAGTAAATTTGCTTAGTTTAAAAGTACGTCCTGTGACTTACCTCAGAAAGATCATTCCCATTCGAGATATCGTAGCAGGAGAGGCACAGCTAAGGTCATGAGTTTCAAATATAAAGTTGACATTTGAGCCAAACTGAATTCTTTCTCCACTGGGCATAGTCAACAATCTGTTGTCATCCAAAACTGAATTCAAAGACTCAATCCATTCAGGATCAATATCACCATCACAAATTATCCATGAAGTAATATCTATTTCCAGACACATAAAAAAGATCATCAAACACAAGAAAAGCACTTAAAGCATATCACCCCTTGCTATTTTAACACTATTTAATACTCTTCCTGCATTATAATTTAAATATAAGCTCCATGAAAATATTCCTTACATGCTTTACCTTCTGCTATTTTTGCTTTCATATCACAAAATTGAGTGTTCTTGACTATGATTGCCACCAGAAGTTCTTCTTATGTTATCCACACATGTACTGATAATAAACAATTTCAGTAATTCAAGCATAATGATGTATCATAACTCCTGCAAAACGTACCTCGGGGTTCTCGTACCACTTGTCGAGCACTATTTGTAAGCACACCGTCAGACCACTCTCTTGTATCCATGTCAATGTGGCCCAGCAACTGATGTCGAGGCATAGCTTTGGGATTCATAGTATACTGTTTCACTACTTTGCCAGTTTTACCCAGTGCTGTCTTTAACATCCGCCAAAGTGTTGATTTACCTCCACCACTTGGACCTACAATAACTACACCCATTCTTTGACGTAGTTGTTCATATAATTCCAAAGCCTTCTTGATCTAGATAATAAAAAAGATAACGGCTATGTGAACCTGCAAAGCTAAATCAATCATGTCCTTTTTTAATGTTTTTCCAATTTGCTTTCCATGCAGTCACTTTGTACAATTTTTGAAACAATAGATATTTGCAGAAGTAATTAAAAATACGAACTAAAGCATATTAAGAAACTTATTTTGCATATTAGAAGCATTTCACTAAATTACTAATATAAAAATAACAGCCCTTTGAGCATATTTTTACTGAGAAACTAATGAACCTTTAGTCACAAAACTTCATCCAGCCCTACAATGAATAAATATAAAAGAGAGTTAGAACTTCTTGATAAAACCAAATGTTCATATATTTAGTTCTTTCACTGTCCAAAACATTCATTGGCATTTGTAGCTGGCTTGAACAAAACTGTGTGTCACATGTTCACATCTTAATTTTCTTTGCACTGTTTTTCTTTCAGTTACACAACCGATCTACTAAGCTTCAAAAACACACATCTATTTTTTATACACATGTAATTAGAATCTAACTATCAGTTATTCTCACTTTTTTAGAAAAGGTTCTTTCAAAATAAACAGAAATTAGTCAAATGTCATGTTAATCAGTTCTAATTCAGAATAATTCGCACAGTTTTATTGCTGTAGTTGATATTCACCTGGGTGCTTATAATTTCCAAGTTTGCTTCTTCAAAGACTTGGTGTAAAGCTGTAGTTAACTCAGCATACTCCACATCTTTAAAGTCAATGCCAGGAAACACATCTTTAACCAGTGCATCAAAACGTGCGCAGTCTGCAAATGTAAGCTTTGACATGGTATTAAGTCGCAGAGCTTGAACGACCATGTGACTTTCATTAACTGGAAATAAAAGCAAAGAAGCCAAATCAGTTTAAGCTGTTGTTTTGTTTTGTTTTTTTTTTCCCTTGGAATATATCAGCATTTGAGCCCATACTGCTAAGATGCTGAAGGTGGAGAAACAGCACAGAATACATTCCAGTTCATGTACCGCTCTACTCGGAAGTTAGAGGAGTGCCCTACTGTAAATATCGTATATGCTCACGAATGCATTCTGTACAGATAACAGATGGTTATGATGCTGGCCAGATAGTACATAATAGCCTAATAATTGAAGTGTCACTAAATGTAGCAGTGCACACTAGCTTACTTGTTAAAGCACTCATCAAAGAAATTAAGGTTCTGGATTCCAGACTCTGCCAGAGGCAGTTTGAAGTCACATCTCAAGTTCATCTGATTTAACTATAAATACTCCAGAAGTTAACCCTCTTCACAACTCCTCTCGAATCAATGGAAATGTGTTTTGGGACCAGAACAAAAACAGCCACAAGAAAGCTTTACTCTGCCACAAAAAAAATAGAGATCGGAAAGGTGCAGGGCTCTGATCTCTGGTTTTCTGCTTTTTTAATGTAAAACACAGACATTTTCAGACAGTAGGACTAGGAATCACAGATGAAAATCATCCTGTGTTTCTGCCCTCCTTCTGAATGGATGCTTGCCCCAAACCAGAATGCACTACAGCCCAAATTCAACACAAGGAACAGAAAATGTCCATTCCCTAACATCCCTTCTTCCTACAGTTTTTTCCCAAATGTTCCAGAGGTTCTAGAACTTGGAAGAAGCTCAAGGTTTTTCATCCTGAACAATGTCTTAAACACAAATGCTTCGACAGGCAAATTTTCCAAATAGCATGATAGACTGTTAAGATGAAAAATGTTGACATGAAGGAACTTGATTCAGAAAGGCTGAACAAAATTTAAGCAACATTTAAGGACATGGACAACATTTTGACATGCCAAAGGATTTTGACTCAACAATACAAGCAAATATAAAGAAGCAAGAAACCACATTTGTTGGAAATACATTAAGCTTCTCAAGCTAAGAGATAAAAAACAAAGAAACAAAAAAAAAAATCCCACAAAAACCAATTCCTGAGTTTAAATCATAAGCTAAATCACTCTATCTTGCCTTCTGCAGGGTTATTGGAAATTATATTTTAAACCAGACCAAACAAATTTCAGCAAATTACACATATCTAAACATGAAGCTAAAATGTCACAGCAAGGAACAGAGATATGAATGTGCCCTGTAACACATTGCTGGTAATCCTTCTTTGGCAGATCCAAACTAAAGTCAATTACAAGTTCTTTAAAGTTGTCAGACCATTTGTTCTGCCAAGATTTGTAAACCAAGGTTGTCTCTAAAAACTTTCAGATATATGCTGTTTAAGCAAAGAAGAAGCCGTAGTTGTGTTCTAAAGATGTGAAATGCTCATCCATCCCACACTCTTAATTCCCACTCATTTAACATCTAAACAACAGCAAACAAACATTTTAAAAAATCTTTAAAAAAAAATACAGTGACCCAGTCAAGTCCAACACATTTCTACATGTTCTTAACACTTGTCTCTGTCTACCAATCTGAATCTAATGCCATGTCACAATTTCAGCAAACCTCAAATAGAATCAAAAGTTTGATGACTGATGAATAATGATAGCATCAGACGATCAACTTTCCTGTCCTACGCCAAGAGCAAACAAATCTTTGAGAATCACTCAAAATCACCCCAGAATAAAGTCCTGTATCTATGTTCTTATCATATAAAAGCTCAATCTAAAATATGACAACAGCCTTTTGTGATCTCCTAATGAAGGAGGACTTTCACAGATATTTTTTTCTTTTCTAAATTTGCTCCAGATCCAACCCATAGCTTCAAAAACTCTACTGAACGAGAAAGCTATAGTGAATGATATCTGTACAATGTCCTAAATAATCAAAAGTTTGGCACGGTCAACCTTACTTTCTTGCTTTGCTTCACTTTTCTTCAGCTGACGAAGAAGACTGCCACAGCCTCTCAAAACAGTCTTCAATGCTCGTAAACCCCAATCATAGTGCTGCTGCGGTGTCAGAAGCTCCCTAAATTTAAAAACAGCAATACTTTAACAAGCTTTAAGTGATAATGCCTGAAATTTTTGTTTGGAGAATGAATATGCTCATAACATGGTTCTGGGCAAAAGAGAAACTTATGAGTATCTGCAGCGCCATCTGAAATGCATTTCAGACATACAAGCAATGACACTCTAAAATCTTCAGAGGAAGTATATTCAACAGTTAATGTTTTTATTATTGTCCCTAACAGCATTAATTAAAACCTCTGAACTTTGTTCTCTTTAATATGCATACTTATAACTAAATAGTCACTTCCATTTCAACAACTTCTAGAGTCTAGATTCAACCCAATGCTTGTGAATATTCATACGCTCACATTCACATTTAGTGAGCATAATAGGGGAGCAGAACTTTGCCACCTTGAGATTACAATTGCATTCCAGGTATTTTCACACCTGAATCTCCCAATATATTACAATAATTGTATTCTGTAAGTTAAATTAGTATCTACAGATTTCCATGGTATACCATTCAGATTTAAGACCTTTATTTGAATGTAAAACTTTAGATGACTTCAAACCCACATTTTTATACCTAGTTTTGTTTCTGACACATACCTTTCTGCATTATCCAAGTTATAAAATATTACAGAATATTAACAGAAAGTATATGCAGATTGTATCCCTACAGTCATGCTTTGGCATAGTCTAGATGGAGAAGAAACCAAATGGCAGTGAGATAAGCACAAAGACCAATGCTAAAATAAAAGCAGGAGGGAAGAGAATTAGTAAGGTAGCATGCCTAAGGAAAAAAAAAAAAAAAAGAAAGGAAAAAAAAAGCTTACCTTGACAGGTTAAAAATAGCCACTAATTTTCTACCAAGTATTTTAGCATCCTTAAAGCCTTCTGAATACAAAATCACTTCTGCAATGAGTTCGTTGTCTGGATGAGTCATAGCAACTGGCCTAAAAAGTTGTTTGAGGTTATCCGGCAGCTTTTGTCTTCCTCCGTAACCTTTTCCAGCAGGATTCAGTGTAATAAAAATTCCAGAATTATGATCCATTTCAACCTAGCATTAGAAGTGCATTGCAATAGTATATTGACATATGAAACAGTACTGAGAAATGTTGGGTGGGCTACACTTAGTTACAGTAGTCACCCAGTTGTTTATAGACTATTTTTATAAGAAGAAAATAAGTAAGTTTTGCTGTACCTTTTTGCCAAGCATCTCACATACAGGACTCTGTCTCTTCAATGCATGTTGAATTGTCTGAATCTGCATAGATACTGCAGACAATACAGCTTCCTCAAGTCTATTGAATTCATCAAAACAGCCCCAGGCACCACACTTCACTAAGCCCACAAATATGCGCCCCATTGACTTCACATCAATGCCCTTAAAATTAAAAAAAAAATATCAAAATTCAAATAATAAGAAAATAATGAAAGACTGTCTTCCCATCTATTAAAAAATATGTCATTGGAAATATCCACAAACTTCTAATGGAAACTAACAAATTATCAAAAGTATTTCTAGAGTATAATATTCCTTCATGAAGTATGGGCACAGATACCCATTTCTTAAATTATACAGAACCATATTCACCTCATCACAATTAAAGACTAATACTTGTCTTCCAAGAAGTCCACCCAGGGCCTTTACTGATTCTGTCTTTCCTGTTCCAGCTGGACCATAGGGGTTTCCTCCAAGGCCCATCTTCATAGCCTGAGTAAGAGTTAGGTAACACTTATCTGTCAAAGCTGTATAAACAAGTTTAGGGGAATTACCCTGCAGAAACAAAAAAAATTACATTGATTGGTAGACAGAAGTTATTGACAATGTAATTTCATTAATTTCATTCATAAGTCATTAATTCAAAAATATAACACAATGGTCAAGATTACTGTACTGTTAAAATATATTAATTTGTTTACAGTTACAAAGCTTTTATATCATATTATGAAGATTTTATATCAAATGTCAAAGCATTGTGCAAATTTTTTTTAGAATTACAGAAAAGGGATCAATACAGATGAAACTGCACTCTGATGTATAACAGTAGCAAGCACATTAGAAAATATTTGTATGATAATGTAGCTGCCTTCCATACAACTTACATTTACCCCATCGATATCAAGAATAAAAATGATTACCCTATCTTTTAGTATTTTCTATGAAACAGCATGCTAAGGACACAACAAAGTTGAAAAAATGACAACATTTGGGAGGCAATCAGCAGCATGTGTGAAATGAGAAGGTGTTTGACATGTATATAAAAGCATCAGGTAAAAATTATAAAAGTACCACACCTGATATTCGTAAGTATATTGGAGTTCAGCATCTACCATCTGAACATAACATTTTTGGTCTTTCATATAAAACCTCAGCTGCTTCTTCCAAACCCAGTCTTCAACACTGTGAACCTGAGCTTGATTCAGCTGCTTCACCACATCAATGTTATGAATGATATCAAGAATCAGAGCTTTAAGCTTGAGCTCAAGGATTCCCGATTCTGCAAATAACCACCAAAAAGAAAAACAAAATCACAACAGCATAGTAAGGAGGAGACACATTATCCATTCTCAAGTTCATTGTGATGCTTTCTATTAACAGCAGATTTTATTCAGAACTCGTTTCAATTACACATATTAATTATCTAAGGCAAGCAGCAAAAATGAGATCCTGACAGAGAATGTGAATTACCGTGTAACTTTAGTCATTTAGAAGTGATTTTTGTCTGCCTCTACACTCAATAGAGAGATAGAGGCTTATCTAGAAAGCAATTTATTCTAGGAGTGTTTACAACCATGTCCCCTTCAGTAATCAGTGTGGCACAATCTGTTAATTGATCTGTTGAGGATCTGAAAACCATACTACACACACTCTGGAGATTTTATTCAGGCTAATTAGGGTGAGGTGGAATTAATGTTCATTAACAGAGTGGGTGCATTACATGTACTCTGAGAACACATTGTTTAGCTTAGTTTCATTTGAAAGAAATCCAGTTTGTGTGCTCCTACACCTATAAATTATCAGTAAACATATAAACCAAAAAAATATTAAAAGTTATTTAAAAACTAATTTAAAAGGCTTGCAAACATATAAATGCTCCAAGATCACTTTTAATCTAAATAGAAACTCATTGCTCACTCTGAAATATTAAATACATTAATCTTGGCAGTATTAGATGGGCAACTTTATGTAACTCAATTTTATGAACTCAGATCAAGACAGATTTATATAATTTCCTGTTTAAATAAACAGAATGGTAAATACTATACAACTACACAATCATTATAAAGAATTATATATTAATAATAATTTTTATACCTGTACTCCCAGTATATTCTATACTAGTATCAATGCTAGTATAATGCTCCAGTTTAGCCATGAGCTCTAATTCTAACTGTTGCAGATTATGGTCTTTGATAGCACTTTCAACATCTTCAGTGAACTGAATTTGTTCTGCCAAGGAAAGAATCTTTGAAAGAGAAAGTTCAAATTAGATTTTATAAATACAGAAGACAAAGAAAAGTTTTTCAATTCATTTGTAATTGCTTATTATATCTGATATTTGAAGTATTTTACTGTATCATTTTTAAGCAAAGCCACACACTTGCTATGCTCTTAAGAATGTCTATAGCCACCTTAAAACCTGACAAAATCTAGTGAAAACTTGCAACGTAATCTAATTCAGCAAGCCCCTTAGCTGTTCTACAGCATGTGGTAGCAAAATTTTTAAAGTACCTTTTCCCATTAAATATGTCAGATGAAAACTACCATATTGTAAGCATGCTGAGCCCATATTCAACAGGTTCAGGAGCACCTCTGACTTTTTTGTGTCATTGACCTGCTAATACAGTATTTTGCATTCCAGTTTCTAACACTCCACTTATGTTCTAACTACTTTATGTTCACTGGAAAAGCTCTGTTTGAGCTATGAAGGTTCAGTCAAACTTGGACTGGAAAGATCTGTAACAAAAAATTCTACCAATTATGCCACTCAGAAGATTTGTAACAGTAACTACATTCTGGGGAGGGAGAGAGGAAGCAGCAGACCTGTGAGGGAGTGACAGACAGGATCACTGAGTGCATGGGGTGATGAGACCAGAAGAGATCACAAAAAACAACAAAATAGGGCTTAAGCAGCATCACCTCCAGCACTTGCAAGTCAGCAAGGAATTGCCTACAAGGCATCATTATGGAGAAATCCCCCGAACCCTCTCCAGAAACTCAACACGGTGGGATGCGTCTCTAGAATGCCTGTACACTAATGCCTGCAGTACAGGGAATAAACAAAGAATTAGAGACCTGTGTGCAGCTGTGGGGCTACGATCTTATTGGGATCATGGAGAGGTGGTGGGGTGGCTCCCATGGCTGGAGTGTTGCAAGGGAGAGATAAGGCTCAACAGGAGGGGAAGATGATAAGGGGGAGTTGCTCTATATGTAAGAGCATCTGGAGTGCATGGAGCTCTGTCTGCAGCTGGATGAGGACCCAGCTGAGAGCTTATGGGTTAGGATTCAAGAGAGGACAGATCAAGGTGAAATTATAGTGCATGTCTGCTACAGGCCATCTGACTGGGAAGTGGATCAGGCCCTTGACAGACAGATGGCAGCATCCTCACATTCACAGGCCCTGGTCCTCATAGGGGACTTTCACCACCCCAGGACCTGCTGGAGGGGCAACACAGCAGGACATAAGCAATACAGGAGGCTCCTGGAGTCCATGGATGACAACTTCCTCTTCCAAGTGATAGAGAAGCCAGTCAGGACAGGTGCTTTACTGGACACAGTCCAGTGAAAAGACAGTTAAGGGACTGGAGCATCCCTCCTATGAGGAAAGGCTGAGAGAGCTGGGACTGCTCAGCCTGGAGAAGAGAAGGCTCAGGGGGGTATCTTAGCAATTTTTATAAATACCTGAAGGGACAGTGCAAGGAAGATGGAGCCAGGCTCTTTTCAGAGGTGCCCAGTGACTGGACAAGAGGCAATGGGCACAAACTGAAACATGGGAGGCTCTGCCTGAACATCACAAAACACTTTTTTACTGTGAGAGTGACTGAGTACTGGAACAGGTTGCCCAGGGAGGTTGTTGAGCCTCCATTCCTGGAGAGATTCAAAAGCTGTCTGGACACAGTCCTGGGCAAACTAGCTATAGGTCGCCTTGCTTGAGCAGGGGAGTTGGAGCAGATGATTTCTAGAGGCCCCTTCCCACCGCAACCACTCAATGACACTGAGTGATTCTCTGTGCTACTGGACAAAATTGCATAAAAGAATTTCACGTTCATGACTACTTCCGCTTATACAGCTAAGCTCTAGAAACCATGTTTTAATCAGATTCAAAAAGGGCTTTTTATGTTACTAAGGTCTTAACAGCCCTGCATGTAACATTCACTACCAACCCAAGATCAAGATTCACATCAAATCTAATAAATAGATGAATGTTAGATCAGGCACCATGTAAAAGACTTGAGTATTTCAAATGTTTCCAAAAGAATTATAAGGACACATATTTTTAAAAATTTCTCTATACTATAAATGAATAAAATGGATTTCTTTGGGATTATTTTCATCCAAATCCAAATGTATACTTCTTCATAAGACTTCAAAAAATAACTTATTAGGTAAATCTAAGACTACACAGTGGCATTACTGAATCAACTACTACCTGGGAAGGAAAGACTGACGGATCGATTGAACCTTGTGATTTTTTTCCAGCATCAATACAGTCAATTAACATTTTTTTCAGGGTCTCCTTCATCTCAAAAGCCAAACTGTTCAGCCACACCTGACAAAGAGATGAAAAAACCTCAAAAGTTACATTACAAAATAATTTCTCAAAGATGCTTTAACTATACTTGGATGTGATTTTCTTACCTCCACATCATTTGACAGAAGAACTTTATTTCTAAGTGGCACAGTTTCTCCTTCTACAGACTTCATGGCAACTATGTATTTAAATTCTTCATCAAAGCTCACACTATTAATGCCTATTAATCAGAAAACGGCAATGAAGACATATATTGTTAAAGTCAAACATTAATTCCTTAGTGTGTAGTAGCGTAAAGTGAGAAAAAAAAAAAATTCAGCAACAGATTATTTAGCTTTGAAAATCCTTATTTCTAAATAAGTACATTTCAGAAATGAAGATTAATGCATTACCAGCAAAAAGTTTCTTAAGATGAGACTGGATAACGAGAGGATTCATAGACTGTCCTAAAATTTCTAATAAGTCATCATCTCCAATGAAATAGAATCTTGGAAATGCTGAGCGCTTTTCCTATATAAAAACAAAATAAATCATTTTTGTTGATTTAAATTAAAACTAACTAACTTTCTTTATAGAGAACTATATTAATGTCAGCTGTACCTCCAAAAACTCATTCAAAGATCTCTGACATCTCTGAAGCTGGTCAAGTATGGTAATTAAGGTATTTCTTATTCCTGTCCGGGCATTCAGTGATGTTATCCTGTTGTCACTCTTGATATCTGACATAATGGATCTTGACAGAAAAAAAATAATGCAATAATTCATAAAACAACCACTGCAAATGTAGTTAAGTAAATAAAAACTAAAGCACAGGTAAGTCATATAAACATCTAACTTTCAGTTTTCATTATTAATGATGAAACATTTCAGAATTTACATCAATGTCTCTCCAATGTAATTTAATAACAACTGTTTCCTGCTAAAATTTCTCTTCCCAAACCCAAGAAAATTCAATTCTTGACTTTTATTTCCTTCTGAGAAGTCATTTTAAATCAAGACAGATAATGGTACATATCTTTCTACATTTCTAAAATCTCCTCCCTTTTTATCTCCTTGACGTGTTCGAAACAAATAAACCACCTGTTTCTCCCAAAGTCCATCTGTGTACTTTCTTAGTGAACTAAGTGCTTGCCTTTTCAAGACGTGATTCTTGAAAAAACAATTACATTGCCTCTGCTTCTGTTGACAAGATTGATCTTGTGTTTGCCTGCCTTGCTCATGAACTTCGACATTTCATGTGATTCCCTTCATGGAGACCCCATTAAATGAAATCTACTTTATCACCTTTATTCTATTTATTCTATTTATCTATATCTACTGAATTCCTGTTGCTGACCCGCATGTCCATACGTATTCCAATTGTTCCATGTATTTTCACCATGAATAATGTTCTAGCCTACATGTGTCAAAGACTACGAAAAGTAAGTCGCATTCCATAACACTAACCTGAAGTCTTCATCAACTCTGTTAAAACGAGCCTGTTCTTTGGGCAGAGCTCCATGACCAAATATTGGTTCCAAATAGACCCATTTCCTTTGAATTTGGTTTAAATTCTGCAGGTACTCATCCAACTCAGACAGCTTTTTTTCCCAGATGGACACTTTATCTTCAAAACCTTTGTAATATGGAGAGTCCTTAAGGGACTGCAGAAGACAGCGATGATCTCCAACTTGGTTGACTATGTCCTTCCAGTCTTTAATAAGCCTGATAGTCTTGCCTTGGCTATCTTCATAATCCGTTAATGTAAAGACAGCTCCAACTCCCCAGAGTTCAAGCTCACGTAATGCTTCTCTGATTGTGACTTCACCTTGGGCCCGACAATTCAAATCCTATTTAAAAGCATAAATAGATTTCATTTGAAATCAGAGAGCTTGCAATAAACTTTCCATTCAAAAATATAACGTAAATTCTATTTCCGTAGTAATAAAAATATAAACATGCATACAGAACAAGATACACTAGATAAAATAAACAATAAAATAAAATAAAGTACTTTTATTTGAAATTATTCATACCTTAAGTTCCATGGCTTTTTCTATAATGGTATCCATCACTTTTAGCAGATCTCCAAATAACAAACCCTCCAGTGTTGTGCCTCGAGGAAGACCCAGAAGACGAAAGAGATCCAGCCAATGGTCTGGAGAAAGATGCTCTCCTCTTACATATTTTAGGAGTGGAATTATCGTCTACAGGAAAAATGCACATGTGAATCCATCTAGCCTTTATGAAAATCATATCTGATTACAGAGTGACATGCTATTCAAACAAAACAAAAATGTACATTCTTAAACTGAAGTACATTTTCAATTCCTGGATTTAATGTTTAGGAGTATAACTATGAGGAAAACTCATTGCTAAATGTGTGTCTATGTTCACTGTAAGGAACTAAAAGGTTCTCAAAATGTTCAAAACAGTATCAGAAGATGAGCTACAGAATTAAGTATATTATCCAGTAATATGAAAACATTTGTTTTACACCATTTTGTAATTAGCATCTTACTTTATATTTGTCCACTTCTTTTTGCAATTTTACTGTCATTACAGTATGTTCTTCCATTTTCCTCATTTTGTCATGCCAGTTAAACAAAAATTCTTCAAATAGATATGTTTTACTCCTGCATAAAAATCAAATATAAACAGGTCTTAACAACACAGTACTAGAACCATTCTCACATGTCCACGAAAAATAAAGTAAGAAAATCATACCTAAAAGTAATCCAGTCTTCTTTGGCGTTTTCCTGAAAATCTTGATAAAACTCTTCATACAATGCCCAGACTTCTGCACAATTCTTAATGTCTTGACATACAACTTTTGACAATGAGAAATCAGGCTCTTCCAATTTAAAATGATGGCATTCTTCACTGAATAAAAAGATCATTGTATTAAACATTACATTATTCCATCATACATTTACTGTTTAAGAGATGATATCATATGGAAATAATTACACTTTTCCAAGAAAAGCTATTGGCTTCACTGAAGAACATTGCTGCCAACTGCAATTTCCTTAGTCTCCTTCTTTAATAGAAAGGATGAAGGAATACAAGGGATAATTCTCCTATACAGCAATCTTCTCCCATATTCACAATTATTTTCCATAAACTTTAATTTCTTTCTCTTTTATGAGAAAAGTGAAGTAATTTGTGCCCCCAAAAACAAAGCTTGAAAGAAAATAATTTTTAATTGATTATTTCTTCCTGTTAGGTAGAAAGAATATGCTAATTTTATTTATTATCATATTTAAGAGCCAAGCTCAGAATTTAAATAGAAAACATTGTCCACTAAGGATTTGGGATAATAAGCTTACTGAAAGTAGGCACCTGGAGCCAAAATCCTTTCCTTTTGCACAACGGTCTATCAGGTAGGACACTGACTCAAGAAATGGGAGAGGTGAGCTCTTACCCACTTAAGTTACAATAGGACTGAAGTAATAGCTCCCCCTGCTTGGACCAGCATCCCAAACCTTCTCTTAGTGAGAATTTCAGAAGTCAGAATCAAGACTTTACTGTACAGCCTCCCTTATGTGAAAGCCTAAGTGACTTCTTGAATTTTTCATTCCAAAAATCTCTAGAAAAACTTAGCTTGAGAAATTCATGTTATATAAAATCAGCAATAAGGACCCTGAAAAACTAATGAAAATCACGTAACACAAGTAAAATTAAATTCCTCATGTCATCTGTCGTGTTAAAAATTAGTTAACATTTCCTGAGATACTATTGCTGCAAAAGATCCACACAGTAATGAATAAAGTATACATGGAAATAAACATACATACATGAGCTTTTCTTTCACAATTTCAAGTTCATCAAATTCTTTTTTTTTTTCCTTTATGATCTGAGCACTTTTCTCAAGCGCATCCTGATCACCTGTTTCAATGACATCATCACTTGGCTTTAGCTGATCCCAACGAGCTTTAAACTTTTCCAGGTCTTGAAGATACATATTAATACGTGAAATCACATTTCCTTTCATCATTTCAATCTGTAAAGCAAGAGTTAAAATTAAATTCCTTCAATGCTTTGTCACTACAACTATGATCAAAATCAAAGTATCAACATCAAAACTTGATCAAAACTTGATAACTTGACCAAAATCAGACCCAAAAAACTTCTTGTATAATACCCAAAGAAATAGTTCATCTTCATTCTTCTGGGTTTTTTTGAAAAAGGGGGCACTAATTTTTTTTTTATGGTGGTATTTGAGACCTATTTATTTGGCCTATGCTACCCATTTAGCCTGCATCTTCTAGCTCATAGAGAAATCGCTGTATTGTATGGCATATTGATATCTTCAGTAGAACTTCAAACGAGTTCAGCAATTTGCCTATGGACTGGAATTACAGGAATGCACATAGCCCAGCAAAATTGTGTGGAAAGAAAATAGCAAGCATTAGTACTAAAAACATGATAAAGTAATTAAAATGCTATCTTTTAACTGTTATCCTGTTTTCCTCAGTTAACCATTGCATTCATTAAGCCATTTCTGTCACCAGAAAGTTGTTTGAGACAGAAGTACAACAATGTAATATTCATTTCAACACCAGTTCAACAGAAGTTTCACCTCGTTACTGTTTAGACAGTTTAATTACTCTTCCTTTAAAGGCTCTCCCTCAACTCAGTAACGTTGCTGTTAACATTCAACTAAGAACATTTATGGATTTAATCTAAAAAAATAATATTTCCCCAGACTTACTCAAAATAATATCAACATTTTTAGGTAAAATATTAATCTTTCATTGTTACCTGTTCTGTAATCATAAGCTGGTGGCTTTCCATCATTAATTCAAATTTATCCCATGTAGCTCTTAGGTTACTGATAGTATCCAAACCTGCACCAGCCACAGTTCGCAAAAGTTTGTTTTTATCTTCAGCCTCTTGAAACAGGAGAAAAATCTAAATTCAAATGGATTAGAAGTGTGTATGTAAAAATTCAGCAAATTCTGTTTATCCAAACTATAAGCAAATACCTAAGAATCATCACCTGTGTATGCACAGATTATACGCTTATATACAGCTACTTTTTTATCACTGTTTATAGAATAACATTAAAACACTGGAAAATAGTATCGGAGGTATTTCAAAAAATTCTAAATCTTGATCCTGACATGAGATATACAGAAGAGAATGTTTACTATGAAACAGGTTAAGTGCCTCTTTATGCTGATTCCAGAACAGCAGCAGAGCAACAGAATTCAGTAAACATGTATATGTGTGCGCTGGCTCTGGCTGGGATGGAGTTTGTGTTCTCCATAGCAGCTCATACGGTGCTATGCTTCACATCTGTGATGAAAACACTACTGACAACACACTGTTTCATCTATTGCTGAACAGTTTTCCCACAGCACCAAGGCCTTCTTTCTTTCTCATTCTGCCTCCCCACCTCCAGTGAAGAGATTGGGGGTACATATGAGATTGGGAGGGGACACAGCCAAAATTGGGTGGAGTGGGGTGTAGGTAGGTTAGACATCTTTTGTTCAGGAACAGGCTGGGCATTGGTCTATCCATGGGAGATGGTGAGCGATTGCATACTTGGTTTATTCTTTCTTTCTTTCCTTCCTTCTTTCTTTATTTCTTCCATTTTTCCTTCACTTACTGAACTATTTTAATCTCAATCCATTAAGTTTCTCACTTTTACTCTTCCTTTCCTCTTCTCCCGTCCCACCAGGGGTGGGGGAGGCCATCTGAGCGAGTGAGGAAGTACATGAGCGGCTGTGGGGCGCTTAGCTGCCTATCAGGGTTAACCCACAACAATAAGGAATAATAAAAAGGAGGAATAGAGACACTTCAAATAAACAGAAATTATACTCATATAAAAGAGCACATTTTTTTCCCATGATAATGGGAAAAAAAATCCATTTTTTCCCACATTATTAAGAGCCAGTCAAATAAAAAACCAAGCTTTTTTAAACTATGTGAGAAGAAACTGAAAGAAACACACATAGTTTTACACATTTACCAAAATGTCCTGTTATGTATGTTTTCCTTTATAAATTAAGGGGTAACAACAGACGCTAACGCTAAGGAGCAATACTGTTTTGTAAATTATAGAGAATTAATTCTCTTCAACATCCAACAATTCTCCTGGAATTCCTACAAAATGTAAATACTTATACCCAACCTAATACAGTCATTACTGAGTCAGCAGCCAAACAGTTAAACTGTATCCAAAATTAAGCTAAAATTAGATGTCTGTACGTGGGCTTGTTAAGTAGGCATCTAAAACTCCATAATCACCAAAGATTGTTGAAACCAACCATGAAACTCAATCATTTAATGACAGACGTTTCCAGCATTACTTGAGATCCCTTTATCCCATCTGCCTTACACCCACTGCCTCAAAAGTTATGGGTCTTCCATACATCCTGTGGCATATCTGCCACTGTTGTATGGTGCTCCCAGATATGCCAGAACATTCCCAAAGCAGTAGACGCCTACGTATGAACAACTGCATTGAGCTCCTAATGGAGTTAAGAAATCAGTTCAGGAGGATCAGTCACAAGGTATCTACTTTAGGGTGAAATGGACTGCTTTAGGCTACGACTGACTACATTCACAGAATCACAGAACCAAAGGGTGGCAGGGGTTGGAAGGGACCTCTGGAGATCATCTAGTCCAACCCCCCTGCTAAAGCACGTTCGCCTAGAGCAGGTCACACAGGATCACATCCAGGCAGGTTTTGAATATCTCCAGAGAAGGAGACTCCACAACCTCCCTGGGCAGCCTGTTCCAGTGCTCTGCCACCCTCAAAGTATAGAAGTTTCTCCTCATGTTGAGACAGAACTTCCTGGGCTCCAGTTTGTGCTCATTGCCCCTTGTCGTGTCACTGGGCACCACCGAAAAGAGCCTGGCCCCATCCTCTTGACACCCATCCGTTAGATATTTATAAGGGTTGATAAGGTCCCCTCTCAGTCTTCTC